ATAATGTACATACATAGAATTGGATATTTTCATTTGTTCATGTTTTGTGGGGGACATTTGACACAAACACACATAACGTTTAGTTCGTTGTTGATCGCACGTTACGTTGTTGTTGTTGTTGTTGGTTGTGGTTGTTGTAGTCATTATAATTTTTTTTTGAGGTTTTTGTTTTTTTTTTGTATTTTTTTTTTTTTTTAGTTGAATAAGAGAAAGCAAATCAAAGTAAATTAGTTAAATTTTTGGTATCTGCAAGTACATAAAATAGAAATGCTTAAGTCAACAATGATCGCTTTAAAGATCATTGCCAATTTACAGCAATAGAGCAGTAGTAAGAGTAGTAATACATATGCGATTAATAAAAATAAAATATGGTACAGACGACAGCTTGCGCTCGATTTCAATTGTAGAAGGATATACCTATGATATACATATATCACGTATATATCTATACTGATAGGTAGGCAGAGCAATACACACACAGATAAGTAGACCTCGGCGAAATGTCTCCACACATATGCAATTCGATTCGATTCGATATTTGGGTATTAGCGCTGGCTAGTGGTTGGGTTGGTTTGTTGACTGGTTGCTTTGGCTCTTATTTGACTAAAGACTCTGGCCACCACATCGCAGGCGCTCTCGTCTATATATGGACATACATATACATAGATATAAGTTATAAGATATGTGTAGTGAAATAATTTAAGTTTGCTTATTACGTTTTTCAATTGATAGGCTTTTGATATTGGTGTTTATGTTTTTTTTTTCTTTTTTTTTTTCAGTGGTTTATATGATTTGGTATTTTTATTTTGGGCATTTCAGACTCGACTCCTGAAAGAGCAGTGAAGTGGACTTGTGATTCTTTCATTCTTGTCTGTCTGTGAGTGAGAGTAGTAGTAGTGCTGCCTGCTGCCCCAGACAATAGGTAGAGTTTATCTGAAATTTAGTGCACGTTCAGTTTTCATTGATTTTTAGCAGTTTAAAACAAATTCATATAAAAAAAAAAAAACAGAAACAAATCATACAGAAAACAAATGCCTAGATATGTTTTGGTTTTTATTTTCTTTTTTCGCAGTTTCTGGCACATTCAAAACTTACCAAATGGTCTCCAGCTTTTTGTGTTTAGAATGACCAAAACAATCACTAGCAACAATATTGAGCTTAAACGATTTCTGCAAAGACATTTCACCCTTAAGAATTATTCTCGCTTTTTGTTTTTAATTATTTTCGTTTTTTGGTAGTGTGATATTTTTTTTTTGCACATTGCTTTTGTTTTAAAGAGATAGACAGAAAGTAGAGCAACCACTCAGATGATAAATTCAGACATAATTCCAAATGGAACTACTTTTGAGAACATACTTGGAAATTTGATGTTACCATCAAATCATATATAATATTTGTTTATATACACAACTTATCAATTTCATTTTGGATATTCTATATAATAAATATTTAAAATATAATCTAGATTGTAAGACGACTGCCATTGCATGTTAATAACGTTAAATCGAGTAAAGTTAATTAGGTTCCTTATATCTGGAATACCACACTATACAACAGAAATATAATACATATATGAATTAAACACTTTTGATAAAGGCTTATCAGGATTCTCAACATATCTCCATATCTATGATTCGCATCTAGAAACACCCTAAAACACTAAAAGATAAGAAATTAAAATGACTATAAAGAACCAGCATAATAAAAGTTCAGTAGCCCAAACACACAAAACTGTAGGTGACGTCGGATTCGATTACGATTTTGTATATAACGTGCAAGCTACTACTAAAGCAGGCAAGGCACACACACATACACTGGAGCACGTGGGTGTTTAATTAGGCGTCAAGGTAAGTCGGCTTTAAAATATAAGAAGTTAACAGAGAGGCGATAACGCCGACTGTAGCAAATCGATGCAGTGCCCTACGCCTGTCGATTTTCGATTGCATTTCAAGAATTCAGGTTATAAATCGATTTACGACAGCCACTTCGATGCAGTGTCCACACACACACATATTCCTACGTAAAAGCACAAGCGCATCCACAAAGGTGTTAAGCAAACTTTGCGTGTGTGAGTGTCAGACGACTCGAATACATATGTATGTGTATACATACATAAATGCGAACGCACACAATACGTGCACATACGGCGCGCTTGATGGTGTCTATTTAGAAAAGTATACAAATATTCATAAAATATACCACTCTCGCAAGAATTAAATATTTTGTACAAACCGTTTCTTAATTAATATGATGCGTTTAACATTATAGTCAATTAGTGTACTTACGTTTTTTTGGTAGGGTGCTTCCAGCATTGCTTCAACGTCAAAGTCTTCGGCCATGTTGAATTTTTCGGGACGGGGAAAAACGCCCTAAGTTGTTGTCTGGCACGTTTGAAAAAACCAAAATTGTTGATGGTTTACACAGGGCAACTCGAAGACTCACTTACAAACTTGCGTTTTTGTTATTTTGTAAATTAAACCAAATTTTCCTTTAATCTTAATATTTTTTCTACAGCGTGGCTGGCTATGTTGTGTTGCTGCAGGGTTGATAATAAATACAAATCGATACCCACAGCGTTATCGATACTTCTGTGCCTAAATATTGAAAATCAACTCGATAAATGTATTGAAAATTGAGTATGGATAATAATAAATATTAATTATAATAAAAGTAAAATACCCACTCATTCGCGAATGATTATTCTAGAATTTCAATTAATAAAAGACTAGTCGAAATTTGTTAGTCTTACTGCTAATGGCGTTGCCATATCGTTACCATATTAATCGATTTGTTTATATTTACATATACGCAGCGAATTTTTAACTCTGCAAAATTAATGTCGTTACATGCATTTAGCGCCTTTAGAATTGAGGGTGTTAAACAAATATCAGGCGTATCCCGTAGGTGCCAACTTAATTGAATGGCGCAACGCAGTTTAAAAAACAACATCTACAAAAGCTTACCCTGCTGGCAGTGGTAATTGTTGAGTCATCAGCGTCCAAATTAATAACACAAGCCAAAAAGCAGCAGAAGCCTTGGAGGCAAGGGTGACCGTTAGACTGTATACGTAGATTGCGTGCGTGGAGCGCAACTAATAAAGCTACAGGTGAGAGGCAGTTGCGTAAGTTGCATCTGCGTTTGAAACTCCAACCCAATCAACAACTAAACCATCCCCCAATACTAACTCACTTTTACACAAGCGTTACGCGTCGCTGACTAGGTGTGTCTAAAATAGAGGAAACTGTGTATACTAATATTTTGCATGTCTTTAAATTGCAGCTGAATTAAACTTCAAATGGAGGACTACAAATTCCTATTCAAAATTGTGCTCGTCGGCAATGCAGGAGTTGGAAAGACATGTCTGGTCCGACGATTTACTCAGGGTCTTTTCCCACCCGGCCAGGGTGCCACCATTGGCGTAGATTTTATGATTAAAACCGTTGAGGTCGAGGGTGAAAAGATTAAGCTACAAATTTGGGATACGGCCGGACAGGAGCGTTTTCGTTCCATCACACAAAGTTACTACAGATCGGCGCACGCACTGATCCTTGTCTATGACATTAGCTGCCAGCCCACATTTGACTGTTTGCCCGACTGGCTAAGAGAGATACAAGAATATGCGAACTCAAAGGTGCTAAAAATACTGGTGGGCAACAAGACGGATCGCGACGATCGCGAAATTCCCACCCAAATAGGTGAGGAGTTTGCTAAACAACATGACATGTACTTCCTGGAAACATCAGCCAAAGAGGCGGAAAACGTTGAGCGCCTGTTCTATGAAATCGCCGCCGAGCTTATCGGTCAAGCTCGCAGTAAGGACGGCAACAGTGCTGCTGCTGCGGCTGCACAGCGCCACACCGATGGTGGGGGTTCCATTGGACTGGGCAGCTTGAGTGCCAAGGCGGCGCAGAGCAACTGCTGTGGAGGCTCACACAGCTCTGGAACCGGCAACAACTCTAGTCAAGGCGGCTGAGCAAGGACAACGGCAATGACAGTCGGCAGCTATCAGCTAAAAATCAACTCAATGACTATGGATGCTAAATATTTGTGTTAAACTCCTTTGGATGTGTAGTCTTAGTAAGCCTGATTTTCTACTTAGTATTATTTGTTACAACAGATCTGGGTCTGAGTCTGGATTGTAAGCATCACAGTTAGTGCTTTAATTTAATGTCTATTGATAATATCAACAATGCAATGCACATTTTGTTTTTATTTCTAGAGTATTACTGGTGTATTTAAAATATTCTTTATATGTTTATGCAAACGCGTATTTGTTAAACTCTTTTTTATCAATTATTTAAGTGTATGCAATTTACATGGTGTACACGCGTACTTGTAATAGTTGTTAAGATGATTTTATGACATTCCAAATACTAAAATAGTTCTATATGAAATACATACCGAAAACGTCAAAAGGAATAACTCACCATGTAATTAAATAAACCTTAATACAGTTTTAATAGTGAATTTTAATTATGAATTACACGAGCGGACGGGGAGATACAGGGCCTGACTAAAATTTTATTGTATATAAAACATTCAAGCAGCATATGAAATAAACAACACAATGTAGTCTTTGAATATATAATTGTTTTCTCATTTATTAAATATTTATATTTTTAATTGGTACATTTGTCGTTGGCTGACTTTTCTCTAGGAGAAAAATGCATGCTTAGTTTAAGCTCTCTCTTTTGTATAAACTACAATATGTATATGTGTATATTCGACATTCAACTCTAAAAATATAAAGGTATATATATATATATATATATAAATATAGATATGTATGTGCATGTATTGGCTTTATATTGTAAATTTACTTGTATAATGTCATCGGAGCAAAAAGGCAAAGTTATACAGAAGTATCAAAAAAAAAAAAATAATATAATTATCATAATAATAATAGTATAATTATTTGTAAAACTGTAGCTGCAGTTTCCAGGTTAGTTTTCAGCTAGCATTAGAGTCTGTTAGCAGGCCACAAATAAACACATACACAATAAATTATATACATTTATGCATAAATAAAATACATAATACATGTAAATGCTAAAAATTAGTATAATAATTTCATTTAATACAAAATGTATGAATAATTAAACCATTTTAAAAAGTAAACAACAATTTGGGTCGGCCCTTTCACAAAATTGTACATTCCTGACAGCCTGGCACTTTCGTTTTTTGTATATGGTATATATTTAAATATATAAATATTTATATGATTTGATATATGGTAGACACGGTGTTGTCAGAGCTGGCGTGAGATTCGTGATTGTGATCAGGATGTCCGCGAGTGTTCTTACTGCAGCATCAGAGCGTTCAGATTGCGCTGCAGTATCGTATCCTTCACTGAATTAAACACTACATTGATGTTGCGTGTGTCTATGGCAGTGGTAAAATGATGATAGATCCGACTGGTGCTACTGCTTCGGCGCACACTCATGAACATTTGCAGCATAAAGTTCTGGACGTCCAGAAGCGAATGCGGATTGCCATTAAACTGTGGATAATACCAGCGTATATCAGTCTCTGGATTGCGTACTTTTTGCTCAAGCAAATCAGTTTTGTTTAGAAACAATATTATTGAAATGCCTTTGAACGTGTTGTTGTTCACGATCGTATCGAAAATATTTTTGGATTCTTCCAAACGATTGGTTTTCCTAAAAATAATCAAAGTACATATAAAACCTCTCTCTCTTTATTGTTTATCTCATTAAGGAACTCACCTGTCTTCGGCAAGCACCTGATCGAATTCCGAACTGGACACTAGGAATATAATAGAAGTGACAGAGGTATCAAAGCATCTCGTCCACTTTTGACGTTGCGTGCGCTGACCGCCCACATCGACAAACACAAATGGAATGTTCTGCAATAAAAATGCATTTGTTGTTAATACTAAATCGCTGAGACAAGAGCATACTCTATGCAGCTTACCTGTACTTTGACACAAAACTCGTAAACACCTTTGGTTGCTTTGCGACAGTGCAGTATATCTTTGTGGGTGGGCACATAATCCGGTTTCGCTAGCCGCTCGATTTCGTCTAGAAAATAGCTGACCGAATCGCTCTGCGAGGTATAAAAATAACAATAACAATGTTTGTTTTCTGTGTCAATAAACGTTTGATTAACTGAGGGTATAAGCTTTAACAATGAATGCACAGATTGTTAAAATAATCGAAAGAATTCAATGTACACATATACATTAATTTGTATATATAATGTAATGCTCTTTATACATATTTCTATCAATTCACAAAATAGCTGACCGAGTTATTTGTAAGGGGAAACGCTAAAAGATGTTGTTTATTTTCATTTCATCAAACATTTAAATGAATTTTGTTATTATTTATTAATTAACTTTGGAGCAACGAAAAAAATCTGTGTAAGACAACCAAAAATATCCATGTCAACATGGCGTGGGACTAAATTAATACACTTTATTTACGAAAAGTAAATGAGAGCTTTCAAACTTCTGTTTCAGTATTTAATAGTCTAAGATCGACGGAGCCGGAAAGACGCCACATCTACCCCAGCTCGGGTGTTTATGCGCGAGTGTATACAAATTCCTCTTCCTTTCTGCTACAGAAATTTGCAACGACTTTATACGACCCTTTCTAGTGGGAACATCGGTGCATTGCTTATGAAACTAAGATAATTATGGGTTTATTGGACCGCTTACAATTTGGAACTCGCGTCGTCGTTCGTAGGCGCGCCTTATACCACGATCCTGCCATAGGCGCCTTATAAGCGGTGCGCATTCTACGAATCTAGCTGCCTCTATTGCATTGCATTCCATTAATTTTGCGGCGTGGGCATCCTGCTCGCGTCCATCACTGCCCCAAGATATGTCCAGCTTTTCGCGCGCATCGAGAAGGACTTGCATACCTGCATAAGAAATGGATTCATTGAAATTTAGACAAAATAAACAAGAATTGTTTCAGCCAATACCTCGTATAACATTTTGGTATATCACATGTTGGTATTCGCACAGTAGCTCAGGTTCAAAGTTGACGCCGTGTATGATGCGCATCTGTTTGAGGAAGGTGGATTTGCCAGACTCGCCAGCGCCCAGGAGCAGCAGCTTTACCTAAATGTTTGAGTCACGGTTAGTAAATCGATTTATCTGACTGCTTACTCTAATACAATGGTACGTGCGAAATTGAAACCTTGACCGATAAAAAACACGCACAAGAAACAACAGTCAGCAGCGGCAGCACAAAGAAGTTGTTAATTGAATGCCTTTTGTGTGAATAAGACTTTTTGTAATGATTGCTTAAATGATGCAACAATAAAAACCCAGAGCCCAGCCCAATAACAACAACAACGAAAAGTGAAAATTCGTCTGTCGTTTCATTTGTTTGCCTGGGCGGCCCATGCGGGCGACACAACCGGATGAATGAAGTATGTGTGTGCTTGTGTGCTTGTATTTGTGCGTGTGGGTCCGGTCCAAGCAAATTAATAGTAATTACTTAATTAAACGGAATGTAGAAGCTTTATAGCTCCAAAAACTGTCTTACCTGCCGCCGAAACGTGTGCTTCTCTTTCTCCAAAAACCGATCAATCTCTTTGGATTTGTAGCGTTGCTCTAGCTCTTCGGGCGTGCTGCGCAGCCGCACCAGATAGGTGAGAAAGTTGCCGCAGCAACGCATACAGGCGAATTGTGATGTTTGCAGGCGGCTGCCCTGGCGTCGCAGCCGTTCCGCCCCATCTGATATCAGTCCGCCGGGGCCAGCAGATGTCCCTCTTCCGCTAGCCGTCTGCTGGTGCTCCTCCATAAGGTGCGTCAGCGTCCCGGTGCGTGTATCGTTGTTGCTGTTGTTGTTGCTGCTGCTTGTAATGCCGCCGCCGACGCTGCTGTTATGTGTTAACGTGGTCAACGTTATTCTGGACATGGTTGCGACTGCGACGACAGCCAACGCCTGACGTGCGCACTTTCTACACAGGCACACACACACGCTCACGCACTAACACACACAGCACGCACACAGACGCGCGCGCCGTACGTTCAGTTGTTGATATTATTGTTGGTGTGTTTTTTGATTGCCTCGCGCTTGTATGGTACTGTTATTGTTCTTGTTGCACGCACGCTAAAATTAGCCTGGTCGCGGGGTTTATTGTTTTGGTCGATGTTTGGACGTCGTAGTTGCAGCCAAATCATATCTTGACCACAACATCAGCGCCGCGCTCTTCCTCTGTGTCTTTCTCTCCGCGGGCATTGCACACACACACTTTCGCACTCCGCTGGCACTACAACATCTGGTATTCGCGTCGATGACAAAGTGATGAATTTATTAATTACGCGTTGCCTTCTTTTTCTCGTATTGGCAAATTTTGTAAATAAATTCGCATTTTCACTCCCAAAAGACTGAATAGGGTTGTATTCACGATATCACACCATCGATATTCGTAATGCCTATCGATATCTATGGCGATAGTTTGCATGCGATGTGACAGGTCTTGAGCAACCCTGTTGCTATCGGCAGCTGTTTGTGTGCACACACTGTCATACTATCGTGCAGCTGTTTATTGTATTTTGCTTAGTCGCGGTGAAGTTGTCGTTTAGTGCTTTTCAGTCCAAGGTGAAATTTATTTGTTAACTATGATTATTAATACAAGCAAAGCATCTTTGCTGTGTGCCTCACGTCTACCAGGCGGTATTCAGTACCTAAAAAAGTACACAGGTAAGCTCCCTCAAACATTTATATTCCTAGAGGTCAGCAAGTTTAAATTGATTAAAATCGCTTTGCGGGGCAAGTTCACTGAGGCGATTGGTCTGCAGATAATAGGCAAACATACGCCAAAGTAGATTTAATTCAATTAACTCGCAGCATATATACACAAGGCTCGGTTGGATTTTGGACCCTGGTCGTCTGCCAAACTGCGCAATACTTTTGCATATTGTGTATTATAAATGTATGTATAAATAATGTGCTTTCTTTCATATAGCTATTCAACCCTTTCACACAAGTGCAAAGGCGCTGAACTGCGCGGCGCCAGCCCCCGCGCTGCCGCTGCCAAATAATGTAGACGCCGCGGAGACAACACGCTTTTCCCCGCAACGCACAAGGGACATTTCGGACAATATAATGGTCATGTCCCATGCACCCATCTCCATGATTGATATAACCACTGATAACAGCTTGAGTGTGTCGCAGGACGCTTCGTATGCGCAGGATCCACATATTCAATCCTATGATTGCTTTGGAGCCGTTAGCCTAAATAGTGTTATGCAGAGCAACGTGCCAACTCCGTTTGGCGGCATGCACAAGTTCTCGCACCTGAACATGCCCGGGGGCCAGTGGTCTCAAGAGTACAAGTTCACCTCGCAGAACATGCACAGCTCGCATTATCGGGCACTGCGCGACAGCACACGGGCTGATTGGGTGACCTACGATCAGAATGCTACGGTCGCCGGCAGCAGCCAAGGTGAGATAAGGCATCTGCTGACTTATGCTGGCACTTGTTGCACTTGGTAATCAAACCAAACCTGTTGCATGTCGGGCGCATGCGCTCTAGCTAACACGCATACGCATGTCCATATCATATGCATTGCTCGAATTCCGTAGGCTTCCGGCGATGCTACAGCACACAAGCAAAACCATCACCAGAGCCACCCTTGGTGCCACCAGCGGCACCCGAACCTGTAAAGCCACCTGTAGACGCCGAGCTACAGCCTGAGAAGTTGAGCAAGAAGGAGCAATTGAAAAAAGCCTTTAAGGAATACGGCGCAACCATTGTGGCATTCCACGTGGGTATCTCGTTGCTATCCCTGGGTGGCTTCTACGTGCTCGTCTCCAGGTAGGACAACTAATCAACTGCGCTCATCCACACGTAACCGTTCACAACAGAAATATCTAAAGCATTTCATCATCATTGATAACTTGCCCAACTAATTGGAGGTCCCTATTTTCTTTTAATTTTCTAGCGGAATAAACATGATGCCGGTTCTAGAATTCCTTGGAATTGAGTCCTCTGCAATTGCGGAAAAAATAGCTGTAGGCAGCACCTTTGTTACAGCGTATGCTGTTCACAAAGTGTTCGCTCCACTTCGGATAAGCATCACGCTGGGCGCCACACCATTCATTGTGCGCTTTTTGCGCTCCAAGGGATTCCTGAAAGCAAAAACCAAAAGCACCTAGTGCCAAATCAAAAAGCATATCTATTTTATATACCACTATAATCGCATATATCACACAGACACTTATACGTTTAAAGCTTAGCTGTGCATGCCAATACAATGTATTTACAAAGATTCGAAAGTTATTTGCCCTATAATCAAATATAAATTTTACGAGTTCTATTCAAAATGTATTAATTATTCATATTTTCGCATCGTCACATGTAATACACAAGTGTCTCGGCTTTATGCAAGAAAAAGTTCAGGGTGCCAAATATTAAATAATCTTGCTGGCAATGTACGATTAATTAAAAACAACTAAGAGTGCTCTAGACGGGACTGTCCCAATAGGAGGTTTCCTGAACCCAGCGTCGAGCTGCCGCTTGCTCATTACGGCATTAAAATATGTGTAGATAACACGCCCAAGACAATATAAACACCAAGATGAGTAACGTCCGCTCATTTGAATGGGTCGCGGAATTTCCAGCCTGGCTTTTCGCTCTTCAAACGACGCGCCAGTGGACTGGCCTTTCGCTCTTCAAACGACGCGCCAGTGGCTTTTCGCTCTCCAAAAGCCAGACGAACGAATGCCAGAGTTGCCAGCCTGCCTTCAGCAAAGCTGGTCGATGATGCTCTGCGTCGTACATTGAGTATTGGTTTTTTAGCTTTTACGATGTTGGTATTCAAATTCTCAGCATTATCTTAAATAAAAACATTCCAGTGTTTTTTTTTTTATATTTCAGTTGGTTTTACTGATTTTTTTGAGTTTTTTTCTTTAGCATATTTATAGAAAAAATATTTTCATTTCTTAAGTTTTCATTGCTAGACATTTTTCATTTGTTATTGGCTTAAGCTATGAATTGATTTTAAGTAAACAATAATTGTAATAATTATACAATTTAATAATTAAGACTTAACAGTTAGACAAAAAAGCTAATGGAAGAAACAAATTAACAATTTCCAAAATTTCCAATGCCCTTTTATACGTCTGCCAACTTATAATCCGTTCACTCCATCAACTCCTTTGATAGATTCCCCCATCCTACTGCAATTCTTTTACTTTCTATTTTCTACTACTCTTCTCTTTGTACGCATTTAAAGCCTAACAACTAATTGTAATTGTACGTGGTGTGAAAGCCGGCTTAGTAGCCATCGACGGCTTCCTCGTCGAGTTGGGCTTCCAACTTCTCCTCCTCTTTGGCTTTGCGGCGCTGTATCCAAGGCATAAAGGCCCACAGGGCAGAGCCGGCGAGCAGTGTCACGCCGAGCGCGTGGAAGAGCGGATTATAGTCCTGGACCGCCTCGGTCCAGTAATTGCACAGCGGTGGTCCTATCAACTGTAGAATACCATTGACAAACAGGCTGATGCCGTAGGACGAAGTCAGACGTTCCGTTCCCAGCATATCGGCCATGATGACAGCTGTGATACCCACATAAATGCCCGATGCGAGTCCGAAGAGGGCACACCAGAAGCACACGCCACCATAGCTGTAGGCGAATGGCAGCAGTGCCAGAGAAATGCCCGATACGGACAAGCCGCCCACAAAGTACCACGTCTTGGGTATGAAGCCCATGTCGGAAAGCGCTGAGCCGCCAATACGGCCGATCAGATCCGTTGTAGACACCACCGACAGCAGATACGCAGATAGGGACTTGTCAAATTGTCTAGCCAGGCCGAAGGCTGGCAGAAGGATGATGAAATTCGTGTAGCTGATGGCGTTCGTCGAGTTCGAGATAAGTATGACCAAATACATTGGATCCTTTAGCAGACTTAGGTCGAAAAATTTGCTGCGCTGGCTCTGCTGCGTTTTGCCTTCCGTCTCATTGGTGCCACCGGCATCCTGGGGTGTCGACTCGCCAGTCACAGCACCGCTGCCAGCCGAACGCAGCGATAAATGCGATGAGAACTCCTTGGGCTGAAAGGACAGCGTGCTGCCGTGATATGGCGTGCTAATATACAGGAAGCTGCTAGTGGACGGCGATCGCTTGGACAGGCGATTACGCGAGCTGTTCCTCATGGCCAGCTTGTTCGAACTGGAACGACCCTCTGGCACGGCATACAAAGATGACTGCGAGTTCAGTTGGCCAGGCGTGAATGTCTGATTGCGTTGTGGCAGTCGCACTGGCGTGCTGATCTTTCTGGCACGTGGTTGGAACTCATCACCGGGCTTGGCATAGCTCTGAACCACAGCGGCCGAAGCGCTGCGCACGAACTGCTGCTTGTCGTCGTCATCGTCCGGCAGATAAAGAGGCGATGGCGGCGAGTTGTAGGGCAATAGCTGCTTTTCGGCCATCGGCTCCTGATTGGGTGCCGTCTCGTCCACATTCTCGAATTTCATCACAATGCCAATGTCCTCCTCTTCGGGTATATCGTCCAGCGCCTGACGGGCGCGCGGCACACGCACCATATGCTGCTCCACAGGCTCATAGAACAAGGCACCGACCAATACGTTGAGCGTGACGCCACCCATGATCAAACAGGAACCGCGGTAGCCATAAGTCTCCAGCAACCAACGCAGCACGGGCGGCAATATAATCGATCCAATAGCACTGCCCGAGATGCAGAGGCCGTTGGCCAGTCCGCGCAGCTTAACAAAATACGATGTGACAATGTACACAGTGGGCGGAAAGGAGAGGCCAGCGCCAATACCCACGAGGACGCCATAGCTGGAACAGAGAGTAAATAGAGTATATTTAATATATATACATTATCTGCACTTTATGCGGATGACTTACCTGATATACAAATAGCCAACGGATGATGCCCAATAGGAAAGTATCATGCCCAGAGATGCGGAGATCGCACCAATCATAGTCACCGTGCGGTAGGAATACTTAACTGAGAGAATACTCGAAATAGGACCTGCAAAAGCAAAGAGACGTATTAAAAACAATCTGGAGATTGACAAACATATTAACTCCGCACTTACCTAGTGAACTGTAAAGGAAGTAGCATAATGCCGGTATCCAGGAGGCCTGCGTTTGTGTAGTTTCGAACGCCTGCAAGAACTCGATGAATAGCACACCGAAACTCTTGATGGTGCCGGGGATGAGTATGTTCGTCAGGCATGCGCCAAATAGAACTAACCAACCCCAACCTCCATCGGGCGGCACGAGGTCATATTCGCCGCTGTCATCCTTCTTGCTCAGCAGGCTAACTGAGGTTCACAAATACATAGAACGAAACAAAATATTGTGATAAGTGAGAAACACGATATTCAGCCAGAAATAACGTAGGCGCTTCCTTGGACACACGCTTCTTCCCTTAGCCCCACACTTTCCTAATTTACTCCGTTGTTTATTCTCCGATCTTAGTGAAAATTTTTAGAGCATTAATGCCGCATCCAGATATTTGTAAATACCGAAACCAAAGACCACAACTCTATGTTTTTATCTATGTATAATATATAATATATACTATATTTATATTTATATATTACTTTTATTTAATCGATCGATTAATGGGAATAGTTCTTATCTATTGACAGTGTTCGACTGGGAAATGTCTGACTGGAAGATGCCTTGCAAGAGACATTCAAAATTGACAAATTAGTTTTGGAATAAGTTCTGTGTTTTTTTTGTCGGACTCTTATATATAACACACAGGGCAAGACTTTCATAAATCCAAAATCAAGGTGAAAGTGCGTGTTTATACCCTGTACCCAATGAAAAGGGTATTATAGTTTTGTGTAAATGTATAAAGTGTATATATTATTGATCAGGACGGTCTCAGAAACCACAAGAGGTACAGACTTTAAATAATAAATATATTTATATATTCATTTACCACAATCAAAGCAAGTTACTTTTTTTTTTTCGTTAAAATTAGGTTTTGGGGCTTGGCAAATAGAGGCAATAATAAAAAAATGAAGAGCTAGATACACAACATTTCGTATGTAGGCTATCGTATATTACAGATAAGGAATATTTCGTACCTTCCCCTATTTCCCACAAATAATAAAGTTCTTTCCTAATTTTATCTACATTTTGAGAGAAGGGCGGGAATTCAAAAATCTTACCACGCTTGGGATCTCTTACAATCTTCAAAATAAACTCAATCCAAAATCATATTAATTTTTCTTTGAGACAATATCGTGAAGATACCGAAAACCTTTGGTGTCATACTAAATTATTATAAGCCTGTTGCAAACATCTTTCAAGTGTCCGGCGCTTTGGGTCTTTAAATTTAAAGCCAAAATAAGGCATATCTTATCTTTAGCCCGAACACTTTCACACTTTGGCCGGGCGGCCAGAACTCCATTAGGTGTCTGGACGCGAATGCGAATAGCTGATAGCGCCACATTTATAAGGCCGAAGCCGGCGAAACGTGCCACAACTACCAATGGGTCAACGATATGATAGAATACGAATTCGGGGCCTGATGTTATTTGCTATTTGTGTAGCGATTTGGGTTGTCAGCGTCCGGCAAATTATTAACTCAGATACGGACAATCTAAATGGGAGCAGTCGATGTGGATCGATCGCGGTGGGTGGTGCGTAATTCATTTAGTTATGTGGTTAGTTTGTATCAGATATGGACTAGACCTGGGTACAGCTTCGTGGGGTTTACCTAATCAAGCATTCGATTTATTTTTGCTAATTAGTCAGGTACAGACGTGACTGTACCAGTTGCGCTAAATGCAGTCTATTTGGGCTCAATATAATATTTACATATTGCTAATGCGTCATAGATTGCAATATATCATTCTAGAAATACAATAATATTGAACAACTACTGGTATATAATCCAAAGGGCTTATTATAATAGTTGATAGCGCCCCGACAAGTTGTTGACGTGATCGATTGAGGTTATGTGTCCATTAAATTGTTCTCAATCAATCAAAAATTAAAAATTCTACTTGCAATCGTCTATTGTCTATTATATCATTTAATAATTGTTTGTTTTTGTTTGTTGATCATGATTCATAGATTACTGACCTGTTTTCTCACTCTTTTCTTTTGTTGCTCCATTTATCTTATGCTCTTTGTTGTTTGCTTTATTTGCATTTGCATTTTGTGTACTTATAACTTTTTCCTTATGCATGGTCTGTAAGTAGAAGAGAAAGAGTGTGAAGGAAAAATAGTTTTGTTGTTATTGTTCTTGTTCAAGGGCAGGAAAAATCATTTCTATTTCGAATTAAACATTAACTTTTTGTTCTTACTGAATTATTTACGATTTA